ACTTAATCCTTTATCCGGGACTGACCGCCCGGCAGATCCTCTCTTCACCATTCTCCCCGACTCTCTCCCACCTATTCTTACAGTTAGAACGCGAAAAGGCTCTTTTATCAAGGAGATCGAATGTAGCAGCTTAGCTCGCACACAATGGAGGTCGAATCCATTCGTCGCTCGTTCAGGTGGTCGCATTGGAGTGTTGGTCTGAACAAATATGCATATGCACACGAACATGCAGCGAGCAGGTGTGAATGCACTTGTATTGTATGCAACCTAGTATGTATGTATACGAATGCCTTACGTACAGGTGTATGTCTGGTGGATGGAAGACAGGACAAAAACGGACACATCGCATGATATGGTGTGTACGTAAGCCAGACGCCAGCCTGAGCAGCACACACATACATGGCTCATGCACATATAGCTAGAGCGCACTCATTCGTCCACGCCCCGCCAACTTCTGAAGAAAGGGCCTCCGTTGGCTGTGAGTGTGACCAATCATACAGCCCTCAGCCAACGGAGGCCCAGAAGGATCCCAGCCCGACCAAAAACAAGGCAGCAACGCAGGCACCTTACGCCCCTCACCGCCTGCCTGTACATGTGTGTATCTCGCTTCCCTTTGACTGATGCATATGTAGGCCCTCTCTCCCTCTCTCTATGCAAAAAGGACAGTTGCACGCACGGACGAATCAGTCAATCAATCAATCGCTGCAAGACCTCTAAAAATGAAGCATTCGGCATTGTATACGTATATAAATGTCGGTGTTGACGTATAGAAAGACATGCACACAAACAGACAGACATGAAAAAAGCCCTAAGGCGCCACTTCTGAATGACTGATGACCGCATGAATGAGACGCCCTATCTATATACACCAAGGAAGGCAAGGCATCCATCGATATCGTCAGGCCACCCGCGGCACTGGCCTGCATTGGCTCACACATACACACACCCATGTGAAACTGTTCGCGTGTACGTGGATGAGTGCTGTGTAGGTACGTACATCGACGTAGAATTGAAGGCGTTCACAATGGCTTTAGCGTGCTTGCTGATGGCATCTGTGGGGTACTCAGTTAGCTTGTGGATGGACTCCTGGCAGCCACTCTGCACACAGACACGAAGCACATACTCGCACCTGTGTTAGACGTGCCCGTGTCAGTCAGGTCAGACCCTGCCAATGATGAGGTCCTTGACGCGTGTGCTCAACGCCTCGGTCCCGCTGACAGGTCGATGCATCCACGACACACAATCACACACATGCGGTGCGGACGTCGGGCGTGCATGGGTTCGTCATACTTGGTGATGATATCCTCGATCGACTTGAGCGCTGGAGCAAGTATGAAATCTCCCTGGTGATGGCGGGCAGGCCAGGACATGACCATGGCGCATGTAACGCGCTCAACGCACTGGTACTCGACTGCGTGTGTCCGCTCCGTTTCGTTGCCCCAGGCCAGCAAGTTGATGCACGTGAAAGTCATCAGTCCGAACACTGCTGAGGACTTGTCCTTCTTAGCAGAAATCAGCTCACGGTAGGCTGTGAAGGTATTCGGCAGCACTGCCGCGTCGATGATGCTCGTGACGTCCGGACGCCTGCTCAGTTGGTTGACACAGCCAAACAACGAAAAGCGCCGTGGGTTTCTCCTCCGCCGATTCACTCACTTGCCGTTAAGTATGTGGTGTCCGAGCGTGGCGGTCAGTGTGCCGGCGCTATTGTTGCGAATATCGGTATCAGATGAGAGCAGCAAGCTCGACAGCTTCATCAGTACATCACGCCCAGACAATATCTCTGCAAGAACAGATACACACACTTGTGCCCACCCTTCCTGCCTGCCTCCCTCCCTCCCTCCCTCCCTCTCTGTCTGTCTGTCTGTCTGTCTTGCCATGGCCCTTTCTTTCTTACCCACTGTGGGATCATTCGCGTTCCATTCGAGGCCCTTCCATTCGCCATGCACATTGACTGCGAATGCGAGCATCCAGGTGGCGGCTTTGGTGAGCGCCACCCCGTCGTCATCATCGCCGTCGTCGTGGTCGTCGAGCAGGTCGAGCACAAGAGACACCCCGCCCGCATCCAAAAACTCATCCACCCACAGGGTGCGATTCTGACCAGAGGTATCAGAAGTCGCCCAAACCGCCACATCAGACAGGAGCTTGAAGGTGTCTGCGGCCACATCCATGAGACCCAGCCCCATCGCTTGCTGGACGCCTGTGGCCAGGCCGGAAATGGCGCCCACTCTGGAGTTAACCAACACACAAGCCGCGGGATGGTCTTATGTACCCACAAGGCCTGTCTGCCTCCCTGCGTCTGTGTGTGGGTGCGTCTGTGGGTTCCTACCTGACGAGGACGTCGGCGGCTTGGGAGCCCATCTCTGCCACCTGCTGCAGTAGGTCCCGAGCCGCACGCCGCACCTCATCATTCTCAAAGTCGACTGCAAGGTGAAGCAGGACGCTACCGTAGAGGTCAGCAACGCCCGCAGCAGTCTCATCCGAGCCATCATTCATGGATGCCGTGATCCGCTCCATTGCACGCAGCTGCTGGCTCTCATGTGGGCCTTCCAGCTGATCAATCACACTGGGATGCATCCCACCATCCTGCAGACAGACACATACGGACAGCCAGCCAAGACGAAAGACGCGTTGTCTACTCTGTGTGTGTTGGGATGGGCAGTTGGAGAGGAGGGGGGTCGCGTACGTGTAGCGACACGGAGGCGAGGATCTTCTTGGCTTGTGCGCCGATGGAATCATTATGATACTTGGCAATCTCCGCGATCGACGACAGGCAGCCGGGCTGCAGGAGAGAAGGCAAGGGAGAGTCTCTCTCAGGACATCACAAAGGCGCGTCCAGTTGTATGCATACAAACTAACCGTTTCGATGATGATGTCTTTGACGCGCTGAGTCAACGAGGCAGACTCCCGGCTGATCGATCGTAAGTGACGCGAGCACACAGACAGCGTGTGGGCAGACAGCTCTGTCTGTCTTCTCGTGTGCCTCTCTACCTGAGCACACGACCAAGAGCGAGAATCGTTCCCCGCGACTGCACCAGCTGCACGCTTCTCTGCGGCCCTTCCGGCAGCTCAGCGGCGTCCCTGTACTTGTGCATCTCCTCACACGACAGCTCCACACACCCGTTGTGCACTGCATGCGCTTGCTGCAGCACACATGCAGATGCAGAGTTAGAGAAAGAGAGATGGCTCATGTGTGTGCTGAAAGACCAACCTGCATCTCGTTTCCGTCCTTGATCAGGTAGTCACATGCACTCCTCACGACCAAGAAGTAGTAATCCCCGTCCAGGCCTTTAGCCCAGTGGTCCTCATGATATGCTGCCATGGCATTCGGAACCACTGAAGCCGCGACGATTCGCGCAAGGCCCACAGGCAGCGTCTCGGGACGGCCCTTCCAATCTGACGGGTGGGGTGCGTAAACACACAGGCGCACCTCTCTCTGGTGTACATGCCACTGTTTTTGGCGTGCAGCGCAGCCTTACTTGCCACTTGCCCCGTCGCCGTGAGCGCCATGTACATCAGCCCAGCAGCCGACAATCGCGTGACAGGGTCGGCTGCCAAGAGCAGGGGCGACAGCTTTGTCACTGCATCATAATCCACCAAATCATCCGCCACATGGTCCGACCACAAATCAAACCTCTCCTGCACAGCAACGGGATCATCATCCGAGACGCCGAAGGCGCCGGGCGAGGTTCGCGCCAATAGGTCGATCGCAGTCGCCCCAATCCTCAGGAGCCCCCCGTCCGTCAAGGCAAGGATGGGAGCCGTGTCATTGGCGTAATATTCCAGCAGCTTCGAGGCGACCGGCACGCCACGAGCCTCGATGAAGTCATCCACCAGGGCCGTCCCCTGGCTGGCGATCAACGTGCGAAGGGATCCTAGGAGGGTGCCCACACTGCTGCTGCCCATGTCCTTGTCGATGGCCTCGACCAGCGAGGGGATTGCGCCTTGGCTGAGCAAACAGACAGACAGACAGACAGACAGAAAGACAGACAGACAGACAGACACCGATGCATCCATAAATGCACACGCACCTCCCCACATACCTGACGAGCGATTCCACCGCGCGAGTGCCAGCACTGGCCATGCAGTGTAGCAGATCTCCAGCTGCACGCTGCACCTCGTCGCGCCCAGAGGTGCCGTTGCCCACCAGCTCAAAGATAAGTGCCCCGAACATGTCGGCCATGGTGGCCGCCACATCCTCATGCCGTGTGGCTGTGCTGTTGGAGATGACGAACTCCATGGCCCGCAAGGCACTGAGTTGCTGACGCGTGTCGGTGCTCCGCAGCTGCTTCATCACATTGTTGGGCGTCGCATCATCGTCCTGCGCAGCGCCGCCCACGGCCGCCGACACGAAAGCCAGTGCCAAGGCCGCAGCCGACAACATCAGCAGACTTCCCCTTTCACCTCCCCACAGGGCGGCGAGGTTTGTGATGAGACGGCTTCTCGCTTGGTGGCAGGATGAAGCTGGGGACCACAATGCAGCCCAGATCACGATGGTTGCTTCGGCGGACGAGTTGCCCTGCTCGCGAGCTTAGCTCGCAAGTGGGAGGAAGAAAAATGGATGACGCAGAGGAGCTTTCAACGCTTTCGACGCTGCGGCAGCAGATCGATGAGTTAAAACGCGCTCTCGAACGGGAAAAACAGAGCAGAGAAGAAGAAAGGTGTGTAGCGCACGGAGAGCGACTCATCCATCCATCCATCTGCCTGTTGCACGCCGCAGGAGGGGTCGTACTCGTGCTGAGGGTTTGCTGCGGCAGAATGCGGAGCGGCTGCTGGCGAGGCAGGGATACACCTTCCCGCCCATCGGCATCCTGCACTCGCCATTCAGACAGGTACAGAGTGCAGTGCACAGCCGTGAGTGATGCAGGTGCGTGCACACACGTGTGGTGTATTGGTGCAGCGGCGGGGCACCCCGAGGCAAGGCCTGCTCGCCCCTTCCGGTGGGTACACAGACACTTGAATCCATGGATCTGATTGCGTTGTGTATGGCATCTGCATGTCCGTCAGTGCGGAGTGTGCTCAAGCTGGAGCCGACAGTCAACTGGGATGCGGCCATGGACGGCATGCAGGCAAGCACGACGTACACGAGATAGATAAGGGGACAGGGAGGCAGGCAGGCAAATTGGCATGTGTTGTTGTCCAGAATTTCTCTCACGTGTGGCTGGTGTACATATTCCACCTCAACACCAACGTCGCCAACTTCGCCGCCACTCGACAGGCACAACGGGGAGGCGAGGTAGGTATGATGAACACACCCCTCGTGTGTCCGTCGATGAGAATGCACATGCTATGCTGCCTTCAGGGCGACTCCTGTGTGCCTGTGAGTGAGCCGTTCGCCGGTCTGCGAACCAAGATCACCCCGCCACGGTGCGACGGTGCCTTCAAGGTGGGCGTCATGGCCTGCAGGTCGCCACACAGACCCAACCCCATCGGCCTCAGCATCGCCAAGTCAGTCAGCGGAAAAGTCACAATGACGCACGAACGGCAGAAGGGAAGAATGGGTGCATGGTGCTGCTTGCCGTCAGGTTGGTTCGTGTCGATGTGGGGCGGAAGGAGCTCATCCTGGAGGGAGCTGATGTTGTCCATGGTAGCACATCCATGCAGCAGCAGAATCATACCACCCTCTTGCCTCATCTGCCTGGTTGTGCAGGCAGCCCCGTGATCGACGTGAAGCCGTACGTGAGTCTGTTCGACTCGCTGCCGCACGCCAGCCACCCATCGTGGGTGCAGGAGTCGTATGCTGCGCCAATGCGGCAAGTGGAGATGACCCCACGGGCACTGAGGGAATGGGACACACTCACAGGTCGGCGGGCGGAGCGGGGCGGCGAGGATGAACGAATCAACGAAAGAAAACAAGAGCAACCCGCATCCTCCGTTGTGGTGCTATGCTGTGGTGTGTGGGGCTGTCAGATGATTCGTCGGATCTGTCACCCCACCCTTTTGACTCATGGGAAGATGTAAGCAACCAACACACACACACACACACACAGCAGCGCCGAGGGGCATAGATTGAATTGCGCACTCACTCACTGATCGATCAGGTCCGTTCGTCTCTGGCCGAGGTGCTGTCGATGGACATTCGCTCGCCCCACCAGCGCTCAGTCGACGCGTCAACAGTGCATCCGTCCAGGCGCCCACAGATCAGCGCCGCGAGCGGCCAGCCAGAGGCCACTGACTACGATGAGGTGTATGGGTATTTGGGTGAGGTGGTGTATCTTCACTTTCGGGTGGTGTACGGCATCAGGAAGGGGGCGGGGGCGGGGGTGGGTGATACGAATGTGACCGAGGTAGTGACGATTGAGAGGTGGAGGGGGGAGGAACAGAGGGGCGAGGATGACTGGAGCTGACGTGACGTAATATGACTTGTAGGTCACCCAATGTGCTGTGCTGCTTTGTGGCGTGCAAATGCCTGTAAGGATGTCTGCCGTGTGTGACGCAACCATGATATTATCGAATGATGTCTTGACGATATGGTGTGACGTGAGCATTCATCTAATTTCGCATGCATGGTCTGTGTACACTCGACCCACACCGACAGGCACATGGTGGTCCGAATTGCAGCAGGACCTGCAGGACATGCTCACAAGGAAGTGGAAGCGAGGGAGTATTTCCCCGCCCCCTTCCTCGTGAGCAGCTCCTGCAAGCCCTGCTGAATTGGCCTCACACATTTATGCCAGACAGCCAGAGACAGACCGACACAAAACACACTATGTAATGAACTCTCATTGACCACGCCGTCCCTCACATATAAAAGTGTCAATTGTACACTTGTACGCACACAAAAACACCCCCAGACAGCCTGCGATCCCTCCCGTCTGTCCGTCATATCATTGCTCTTTCTTCCCCTCTTCTCTAATTGACCCATCCCCCTCCTGCTGCTCTGCTGCCGAACAGCTGCTCTTGTGCGTCTTGCCTCTCTTCTCCTTATAAGAGGCATAGCTGTACCAGAAGCTCCCAGCCAGACACACGAGTGTGCCCAGCCATCCCTTGGCAGTGAGTGTCTCGGAGAAGACAGCCACGCCCCCGATCGTCTGCACGCACGACTTGACGTAGCCGATGACGACACACGTGACGGGGCTGACCACCCGCAGGCACAGGAAGGTCGTGAACGAGATGCCCACACCCATCAGCCCCGACACCATCACCAACACACACAGCACCCACTGCCGCGGCACCCCGGCATCACCGCTGAAGACCTGGTCGACCAGCTGGTCGTACTCGCCGCTGAGCCATATGAGTGGCGGGAAGAGCACGAGAGCATACGAGTTGACATAAGCCATCAGCTGGCACTCGGCCCCGTTCTGGTGGGCGAAGCTCACTTGGCCGCCAACATGCTTCACACCCACCATGTAGAAGGCGCCGAACAGTGAACCAAGGCTGCCCGTCAATGCGCCGAATACGCTGAGGGTGTCAGGGTCAAACGTGGCGATGAGCAGGCCGAGCAGCGCCACAAGGCACGCCGAGAGGGCCTCCATGGACAGGGGGTCAGACTTGAGGAGCAATGAGGACAGCAGCAGGTTGAATAGGATGGAGGTGCTGCGGGCCACTTGGTATACCGCCACTTGCACATACCGCTGCACATACGAGAGAACACGCACATGAGAACCGGCAGTGTGAAGGTCTTTTTGCTCTTGTGCACACACCAGGCAGATGTTGTTGAAGGCGAGCATGCCCACAAAGAGCACGGCAAGGGGCAGCACCCGTCTCCCGTCCTCCCACCGCCACTCAATCGGGCGGAAGAAACCCTTGACTGACACAGGGCATGACGTGTGGCAGGTCCAGCTGCCGAGCACCACCGACAGCATCAGGCCAATCACCTGCTGCACCCACGAGAGGAACAGCGGCAGCGGCACCATCTCGGTGAAGAGCAGCCGGTTGAGCCACACGAGGCCGATGGAGCAGGCGCAGTAACTGCTGACTGCGAAGGCCGTGCTGAAGGGCGGGGAGGGAGGGGTGTCATTGCTGGTCCTTGTGTGTGTGTCATCCTCTGCAGAGCAAGGCGTCTTTCCGTCGGGAGCGGGGGATGACGGTGTGGACTGCGTGTCGGAGGGACAGGTCGAAGACGCTGTTTCGGCCATGCTGAGCTGGAACAGCCCCTCCCAACAGCTTCTCTCTGCTGATTGATCGACCTTTTCTTGCGAGCTCAGAAATCGTGCGAGGTGAGGACAGCAGGGAACGAATTCATTGCAAATGTGGCGAAGTGTGGCGGAAGGGATGCTGTTTGGTGCCCAGGTTCGCTCACTTGGACGAGCACAAGTCCCGTTCGCCTTGCCGTTCGCCACGCGCACACACATAGATGCACACATGCTTAGTTGACGAATTTCAATTCACGAGGCATGCGTCAGAGTGAGAACAGACGATTCCGGATATAAAATGTAGGCAGCGATGCAAAGGCTGCAGACGATTCTTGGCCATCTCCCTCGCCAGCAGTACCTCGAGTGCCACGAACCCTGGCGTGCCCGTCTCGTACAGCGACGACAGGCTCCAGTCCAGCCTGCTGGGCCGAAGGAGAGCCAGGCCGAAGTCGGCTATCTTGACTCCCGCCCTGCTGGGGCTAACTAGCAGGTTGGCCGGCTTGATATCCCGGTGCCACACCCCAACTTGTGCAGGTGCTGGTGGGGGGGGCGGGGTCTCGCGTGGGGGATTGGGGTGGGCTTCCACGCCGTTGACTCGCTTGGCGAAGGTCTTGACCGCTCGGGTCTCCCCACTGGCCTTGTGGACGGCCTCGAAGAACTCAATGTCAACCTACATTCTGGTGTGTTGACACACACACACACACACACACACAATACACACACAGAGAGAGAGAGAGAGAGAATGAGCATGAGCATGAGCATGAGCAGGAGTGCCGACGTGAAGGCAAGTTTTGCGTATGCATCCTTCCTTACCAAACACGGCTTGGGCTTGTTGCGATGGATGAAGGGCATCTTGAGCATGCAGGAGGCCATCTGCATACACATACAGACATTCATGCAAGCGCCCATTAATCTAGGGAGGGACTGTGTGTGCCTCTCGCGCGTGTCCGTACCGCCCAGATGTGTATTCGGAGTACTGGCGTCGGACACATACATACACACACAACACGACAACACCATGGATACACATACATTGTTGAGTGCGTCTATCTGCCCTTGCCTGTTTGGCGTCATCGTCCCTTCAGTCACGAAATGCTTGGGTACTATGCACAGATCCCCAGGGGAGCCACGCAGGTCGAACGGAGCTTGCTCATCCTGAAGCTTGCCGTCGTCTCTTTCCGACGAATCAGCCACAGCCCACTTCTTCTTGCCGTCAGGCACCTGGGCGACGCCCTCGAGGAATGATGGCGTGTCGCTAACAGACACAAACACATACACACACACACACAAAACACAACACCATGGATACACATACATTGTTGAGTGCGTCTATCTGCCCTTGCCTGTTCGGCGTCATCGTCCCTTCACCGACGAAATGCTTGGGTACGATGCAGAGATCGCCAGGCGAGCCACGCAGGTCGTCAAGTTGCCGCCAAAGGGATCGACTGACACACACAATGAACGAAAAAGTGAATGAATGCACACACAGGCGAGTCCTTCAGACACGTGTGTGGTGCCTGCCTGCCTGCCTCCCTCCCTCCCTGCCTCCATGTGCTAATACCACCATGCATCTTGTCTCCCTCCGTCTTGCTGCTGCCGATCGATCACTCACTGCATGAGCAGGGGCGATGCCTGCCGATCATCGAAGGGCAAGGGAGGATTTACGGGTCGCTGCTCCTGGTAGGACACAGCTGACTGATAGTTGCCAGGGTTGTTGAGGAGGCATCCTGGGGGCAGCTTCAGCTCCTTGGTACGTACCTTGATGAAGCTGGGCATCCCCCCAAAGCGACAAACGACTGGTCACACCTGACAGACACCAACACGTGGATGGATGGATGGATGGATGGCGCCAGAAAGACATGTGCACGCGTGTGTCGGTAAGTCGGCGCTCGTGCGGCTGGCTGACTGACCGTGGGAGCAGAGCGTCAGCGAGAGGAGATCGCCAACAGCCCCGTTCTCGATCATACTGAACGGTCCGCCCAGCATATGCATGCATGTGGATATATGGAAGGCTGTTGCTGGTATTCATTCGTTCATTATATGCATCCATATACCTGCCGTTGTTTGGTGAGTGGGGCGGTCCAAGTCGACTGTGCCGCATGCGAGGCACCTTGGCCTCCAGCAACACAGGTGTGTGCCAGGATCCATGTCGACCAAAGCGAAACTGAATGATGCACTGACAGATACACAGACACACACGTTGCTTCGGTGGATGGGTCGGTCGCTCGGTAAGTGGGCGGGGTGGGTCTGTTTCATCCTGTCCAACAACAGCTGCCGGTCCTGTGGCCTCGACACACACGGGATCTGCACACTACATACACAGTTGGCATTGAGCCCATCCAGCATCGTAGAGTAATGACGTGTGAGTGCGGCTGAGTCTTCACACTTCTCAGCTCCCACCGAGATCTCGAATCTTGTCGTCCTTGTCGCGTAGAGTGTTGCTCTGCCTCTGCACAGACGGAGACATATGTGAAGGCATCTTAGTAAATGACACGCAAATCCCTCGCCTCCCTCCCTCACCCTTGTTAACTTCGTGGTGCTTCCAGGTAGGCACCCATGTCGAGGGCAGGGACGGAAGCTCTTCTCTCCGGTACTTCGGGATATAAAACGTACGCAGCGATAGGGCTGCACACCATAAAAGAAAACAGAGAGGGACAGACATACGCTTTTTGAACAGACATTATGCCCGCTCTCACCTTTTACCGCCCCCCGTCTCCTCCTCATCTTCTTGGCCAACGACAGCAACAGGTCCTCGGTCGGCGCCCACACACACGATCTGCACACAACACACACAGACACACACACACACACACACATAGACATAGACACAGATGCCATCTATCTTTTGTCTATCTCTTTGATGCACCCCTCCCTTCTCTGTAACGGATGATCGGTGTGTTCTTTCGTCTTGTTGGCCTCTCAAGCTTACAAGACGCTCAGCTGGGTGTGTGGGGCTCCGCCGTGCACCTTGATGCCCTCCTGGATCCCCGAGACACTGTAGTGCTCAGCCCTACACAAACGTTTTAATGTATGTGTGGTGGACGGACGTGCACGCCGCCCACAGACCGGACACGACAGACACAGCCGATCAATCAATGAAGCATAGCATTTCCATACTGTGGTCACTCGCCTCGCTGGCTCTCTCGTCGTGTGTGGGCCTGCCTGCCTGCCTGCCCGCCCGCCCCGCCCCACGTACGCAACGCACCGGTTGTGTTCCTCTTCTGTGGGTCTTCTGGCAGGGGTAGACTGGCAGAAACGCTGTCTGCACTCCGGCGGGTCTTCCGGACCCTTGAACGGCTCCTCCAGCACCAAGAACACCTGAGCGCACACACACACACGCACACACAGCCATATGAGTGTGTGTGCAGAGGTGGGGTGACTGAGTCAGTGGGTGGGTGGGTCACGTAACGTACCATGTCACGGTCGACGTCGAGCCGTCCGCCGTTGCGTCGCCTCTCAAGCTCCTCTTCGTCGAGACAAAGAAACACACATAAGTGCAGCTGCAGGTTCGCACACTGCAGACACACAAAGAAAGAAAGAAAGAGATCCATCCATCCATCCATCCCGGTAGGCAGGTACATAGGCAGACAGGAAGATGACTGACCCCTGCTTCCACTGGTCGGAAGTCGTTGAACCGGGAAACGAGTTGCTGATGGGACACCAGCTCCCGCATCTTGGAGAATCCGTCAACTTGGGCGCCCTCGCCAGACCATGCTGACCAATGGATGGATGGATGGATGGATGGATGGAACGACACAACACAAGAAAGACGCACAGCACAGATAGATGTGGCCGGCCACTTCGCCCCTCCCCCCCTCTCTCTCACTGCCTGCCCTGCCCGTCAGTTTGGGTTACATACCCGGACTGCCGCTGCCTCGAGGTCTGCGGTGCTGCTGGCGTCGACCTGGAACACCGTCACCTTGAAGGACCTCAACCGGTCGAGGTAACCGCTGAGGTCGTCCTTCGGATTGGGCTCGCCCGTCACGCGGCGCACGTCACCCCTTGTCGTACCTGCACACACGAATGAATGGACGACGGCAGCAAGATGATTGATTGGGTAGTGGGGGTCGGCGGGCAGATGGATGGGCGTACGGATGAAGAGGGCGGCGAAGTTGGGCTTGTTGATGTCGGCCTCCATCACGCTGCCCTCGCGCTTCTCCACCGAAACCTGCACACACACACACACATGGATGACACGCCAACACAGATCAGATCGATCGCCGTTGCGTTGCCTCTGAACTCCTCTGCGCCTTGCGCAGGCATTTCATGACATCCTCTCGGGAGTTCTGAATGATGGGCATGTAGTAGATGTGCACTGACCCGTGTCGGGCGAGCTCCTCGAGCGCCTTGGAGGATGGACCCTCGCCCTCAATCTTGACGAAGACGTCGAAGGTGTCGGGTGTGTAGTAGATATCCACTGCGACCTCCCAGAATCCCTTGATGACCCCCCTGTCGAAGAATTGGGAAGGCCAGGCAGTCCATGACACGCTTTCGGGAGACCCAGAAGGACGGACTCTTGCCCTTTATCTTGAGAAAGGCGTCCAAGGTGTCGGGTAGGTGGTAGATGTGAACTTCGACCTCCCACCCCGTGATGACCTCGGCCTTGCCGAAGAACCCGCCTGAATTCGAAGTTCGCACAGAGCGTTGCTCATGCCGTTTTGCCAGGCCTGGCTCGTGCAGCTCCCGACGGATGGGAGTCGTCCTGCCTCTCATCCAACCCGCTGCTCACCTTGCGATTGGCCACTCGCGCCCGGCGTCGTCTGCGACGCTCGCGGAGTGACGGCTGCTTGGTCGGAATCATCTTGAAGAGGGAGAGGGCGAGGGAAAAACAAGGAGACGAAAAGGAATGATGGGAGACGATCGCAGCTAAGCTGGCGAGGGAGAAAAAGGGGGCTGGAGGAAGGAAGGAGAGGGAAATTCATTTCGAACGACACCGCGAAGTTTCTCGCCGTCTCCGCGAGCTCGAATTTCTCGACCGACCTGTGGTGATTTCCCCTGGTTTGTTTTGAGCATTTATTCATCCATTGGCCATGTTGTGGGTTGACAAGTACCGGCCTCGCCAGCTGGACGAGCTGCACTGCCACCCTGGCGTGACAGATCTGCTGCGCAAACTCATGGACACGCGGGACTTCCCACACATGATGCTATACGGGTGGGTGAGAACACGCACACGAATGAATGAATGCGCACACCATCGGTCTGCCTGCACGTGGCTGTTTGCGTGTGGTTGTCAGTCCGCCTGGCGCAGGCAAGAAGACTCGCATATCGGCGTTCCTCAGGGGTGTGTACGGCCAAGGAGCAGAGAAGGTACCAGCAATGCATTCGGCCATGGGACACACGCATCGCATGAGCCGGTCCATCCACCTCGTGCGTGGTATCCGTTCAGATGAAGGTCTCCACACGTTCGTTCAAGGTGAGAGGAGGAGAAGGGAGGGAGGGTGTGTTTGGGTCTGTCTGCATCTGCGACTCTGCGCGTACATGGTTGTGTGGTTGCTAGATTCCCCCCAGCAACAGCACGACTGTCGAGTGCCAGGTCCTCGACAGCCCATACCACATAGAAGGTATTGATGCGTGTGTGGGTGTGCGCATCCACATGCGGCGCATGACGCACGTGTGGATGTTCTGTGTCAGTGTCGCCTGCTGATGTGGGTACGGGCAGCCGCGACACGGCCATAGTGCAGATCCTCGTCAAGGAGACTGCATCCGCGCTCCAGCCAGCCATGGGCGACAAACACGTCTCATTCAAAGGTGCGTGAAGGTGTATGCCCACACACAAATGCACGTATACTGACCTGTGCATACAATATTGGCACATGAATGTGTCCTCCGTGCATGTGTGTGTGTGTGTGTGTGTCGTGTCTTGTGGTTTCATTTCATCGCTTGTCAGTTGTGGTGATCAACGAGGTGGATCGTCTGAGTCATCAGGCGCAGGCCGCCCTCCGCCGCACTATGGAGAAGTATGTCGGGGCATGCAGAATCATCATGACGGCTAACAACTTCGCCAAAGTGGGCAACGAGGGGACGCCGCTCAGGGCCACGTGTATGTGCATGTCTTCGTATACCTGTGTGTGTGTGTGTGTATGTGTGTGCAGGTGTTGCCGCCGATCCGTAGTCGTTGTCTGTGCATCAGAGTGCCGTCGCCCACCAACCAGGAGGTACGCACATACACATACAGATATAGACACACAGGTGTGCAAGCAATGATTGCACACATGCCATGCACTCATCCATGTCTGTTGGATGGACAGATCCGCGAGGTGATGCATCAAATCGCTGTCAACGAAAACATCACCGTGAGTGAGCCGCCAAACGGATGGAATCAAAACCGCCGACGCAACGCACGACATGTGTGTGTGTGTGTGTGTGTGTGTGTCGGTGTATTGGGCAGGTGCCTGACGATTTGGTGGATCGCATCATCGCCGCCTCGGGCCGCGACCTGCGCCGTGCACTCCTCATGTTGGAAACGGCCAAAATCAAGCAGTGAGTACCGCCCAGACCACACGCAGTGACCCCACACACACATGCGCTCCGCTGGGCATGTTTGCCTGCATTTATGTGCACGGCGCAGCTATCCGTTCAAGGCGAACCAGAAGCCGCCGTTGGTCGCTTGGGAGGAGTTCCTCGAGAAAGAGATCTGCGACACAATTATGAAGAACCAGACGCCAAAGGGGTATGTGCCACACTGCACACGACGGCACCACAGATACACACAGGCGGCATCTCATCTGTGCGCGTGTGCATGTGGATGTTTGTCTGTCAGCGTCATAGCTGTTCGGTCCAAGTACTACGACCTGATGGGCTGCATGATCCCTGCAGATGTCATACTCAAGGTGCGCACGCTGGCTGAGTCACCGACACAACACACCCACACAAGGACGCAGACGCATCGGTCCTTCTGTTTGTGTCATTCAGACGTTGGTCAAGATGCTGCTCAAGAAAGTCAGCGGCGACACCCTCAAATCCAAAATCGTCACTTTCGCTGCCTCATTCGTAAGCAAAGACGCCATCACACCATGCACACACTCGCCAAACACATGTCTGCACGGCTCTTCTGTCTGTATCTTGTCAGGAGCACACGATGCGTTTGGGTGCGAAGGAGATATTCCACCTGGAGGCCTTCACTGCCAACGTCATGAGCGCCATAAAGCAGGCCAACACATCGCAGCAGCAGGGAGGCAGAGCCCCCAGCCCCTCTGGCGGATCGTGAGTGAGTCGAGTGGTTGGTGCACACGAGCTAGCTGAGTAGCGAGCGGGTCGCTGGTAGACAGACACTATTGCCGGCGGGTGGGTGACGTGTGTGTAGATTAGATCATTCCTTACCGAGTGGGCGCCCCCCGACCTAGTGCATTCATTCATTGGTGTGTGTGAGGACGTCTGTCTGTAAATACGCTAACTGACGACGCCCTTCTGGTCGATGCAATGCAATCGATTCATTCAGCCTTTCCCTGGCAGAGCAAAACGAACGTGTCTCATTCATCCATCGCCACCCACCCACCCATTGCCGCACTGCCCTGTACAGTCACTCCATTCACCACACATCAAATCACCTGCCGTCAGCCACCAGCTCAGCCACGTGCACATCGTCCTCCTCAGGCGGCACAATGCGCTGCATGGACGCCGCACGGTCAGCTGCTGCCTCGTCAGCTGCCGCCGACTCCTCCCCGTCTCTGCTCGTATCCTCGGCATCATTTGCCACCTCCCCGCCCTCTTCGCCCGCCAGCTCGGCCTCCAGCTGCTCACAGAGAGCAGCTGCACATACACAGGATGCGCAGAATACACAGAATTCACACAATGCACGCAGACACGAAAGAAGCCACTCTGTGCGTATGACTGTCACTCACCTTCTTGTTCGGGGTCCACGAGTGGCCCCTCCCTCGTGTTGGTGTCTTGAGGTGGGTTGATCCGCCCCTCCTCCACACGCTCCCTCTCCTCGATAAGCTCTTTGCGCCGCTCGGCGTCCCGCACCGCCTGAACCATGGCACGCTTCTTGCGGTTGATGCGCTGTGAGCGGCCCCTGGGGCACTGAAGGGAGAACTCTGTCACGCCCAGCCGCCGCATCTCGAAGGGCAACATCGCTGGGCGCCTGACGCGCACACACACACAGGCACACACACAGGCACACACACAGAGAGAGAGAGGTGTCC